TGGCATTTGGTAGGTTTAATTTTTAAATGGCCTCTTTCAGCCTCTTAAGCACTGTTTCCAACTTCTGCAAGTGTTCCTGAAAAGTTCGGCCTATTGCCATGATATCCAAGTGTACCAGACAGAAGATGGCTTGTAGGTCTGCGAGCACGATATCCATCAGTCTCCAAAATGTACCGGGGGCATTACATAGCCTGAAAGGCATAACGTTAAATTGAAAAAGGCCCTTCCTAACACAGAAAGCGGTCTTGGCTTGGTCTTCCAGGTGTGCTTCTACTTGCTAGTATGTATTAGCCAGATTGAGAGTGGAGAACTATTGGACCTAAGCCAAGAGGTCTATCTAGCATGTCGATCTGAGGTAAAGGATAAGCATCCTTAACAGTGGCATTATTCAGTCAGCAGTAATCCTCACGGACCTACATGCCTCCTCCATTCTTCTGCACCAGCACCACAGGGGCAACCCACGGGCTAACAGTGGGCAGGATGACGCTTCTTTCTTCCATCTCTTGCAGCTGTTGGTCAAACACCACCTGGAAGTGGATGGGAACCCACCTAGGGCCTTGCTTAATAGGTCTGGCACCATGTTTATCTGGTGGTTTCTCAGGCCTGTATGGCCCAGATCATGGTCCTCCAGGCTGAGTGTATGTCGGTGTGCTGCAGTAAAACTTCCTGCACCCTTTCAGGTTCCAGGCCATGACGACTTAATCTGAACTCTTGGTCCAACTTTCCTACCATCCATTGGAGGTTATCATTCTGATCTCCAAGATGCTGTTATTTGTTTGAATTCAGTACCCTTATGGAAACTAGCCTCTGTGGCCTGGTCTTTCTGCAAAATGGCCACCCTAGTCTCGAATGTCCCAAGTACGGTACCTTGATATGCAATCTGAGGCTCCGTTGATAAATTGGCAATATGCACTGGGATTTTGCCTCTGTGGCTTTTACCCACTGCAGTTCCCAATAGGAATCCCAATTAATTAGGCTTGGGTTCAAATAAACCCTCCTTGTCTCCGCAGCACCATCTCTTCAGTTTGCCATTGATCATCACTTCCCTTCATAGAGGAATTGTTCAATTCTTTTCTACCATGACATCATATAATACCCTCACTTTACCATCTGTGGTATACAGGGGGAAACTCCTTCCCAGAAAAGAGCAGGAATAATCAGCAAAGTTCACAGTCATCTGTAATTTCTTTAAAAAGTCAGTGCCTAACAAGGCATCTTGGATGGCATCCTTGGTTATGGAAAATATGCATGGCAGCTGCAAACCTTAGAAGTCAATAGGTGCAGTCCGCTCTCCCTGTAATATAGACAGGAATTTTAGTTTAGTAGCCTTATCCCATCCATTTAACTCAGCTGCCATTTCAGACTGGTCGTCCCAGTCTTGGTGTTCTCTGCTAAAGGGTGCTGGGTTAAATATCGGCCTTGAAGCATTAGGATGGGGGTGGTGCGTTTCCCTGCCCTGGGATGCTCATCTTCCCTATATGAATATCAGTACAATAACAAATGTGCACACTACAACCGTTTGCTCTGCGTCTTATGGGCTGTGCCAACCAGTGCCGCCAGTTGTAATGAACCCCAGAAACTGCACAGGAGCCAAAAGGAAGGTTCTCAAACGTATATAGGGATAGATTCACAGGCCAACGGGCTAAGCAGAATAGGAAAAACAGATGAGCAAGCATTAAGATACATATGCTTTACAACAGAAAAGGGAACATTAACAATGTGATGCAATACACTGAAGAAATCTTGAGCCCTCCCTTAACTTGCAGGGGCTATCAAACAAGTCTTTAGTCTCACACAACACTGTTACCGTGTACACGGGCTCCCTGTCTGAGCCCCACCGCTGTGGCTTGCAAAGTCAGCCCTACTGCAGCTCCTGGGTCTCAGCATACATCTTGCTGGTGGATGCTGCTTCTCTCTCTCTACCCCCCCGCCATTTTTTAGTGCACAACCCAGCTCTGCCTCCACTTCCTTCCCCTTTCCCCAGCAGCCTGTTGGGAACAGTACTGCCATGACATTACAACCCATTACACCCTCTTTCTTGATCATTTTATGCCCCTATATTTCTTATTGCATCATATTTCCTTTTGGAGTTCTAGAAATTACTCAGACCTAGCTGGAAACACCACACGCAGACAGACAGACAGACACATACACACACTTACCATGCCTTTCCCACACAACAATGAAACATCATTTGCCCATTCTTGATAAGCCTTGCTTTAGACCTCTTGGGGCTAATGTCCAACGTTGCAGTCTAACACCATTTTACCTATCTTTCCTCCTGCATTAACACATCTATGGCTCTTGCACTTCTTTCTTATGTTAGCATTTTCAGTGTTTCACTCTGCCTGTCTCTCAGTTCAGATTCCTGGAATTGTCATGCCTGGACCCTTCCAAAACATCCCATCACCCATTTTATTACATTTCATAATACCTACAGGAGGAGGCTTAAGAAAAAAAATCAGCAGTGAGGGAAGTGGCAGTAGTTGGAGTAGGTGGGAAGCTGCTGATTGCTGCCATAACTTGCATGCATCCCCTTAACAACCTTTTTGTGCCTAGTTTGGGAAGGACTCTGAGGCACTATTTTACAATGTTGGAGCCATAGGTACCTAAGTCGTCTTCTCTAAAACGTTCATTGGACTAAGCATGAAGAGACACGTCAGTCAGGATGAAATGAGTATACCCTCACACACTGCATGGAAAAGAACAAGCTGTAGACTGTGCCATGACAACTAGTTATCTTTAAACCTTAAGGGGTGTTGAATGCAAAGTGTATTGAACCCCCTAGGGTTTAGTCAGGCCTACTTGACCACAGCTTGATTTCTCTTCTCTGGCTACAGCAATGGCAATCAGCAACCCAATACCCTCCTTAAACAAAGTATTATTTGTTTAGAACGAGAGTTTCGGAGGAAATGAGTCAGGAACCAGAGCATGTTTAGTTTGCTCCCAAGGCATGCTTAGGTAACTGAGCTAACTTTAAGGTAACTAGTCTGGATACTGGACAAGCTTTGACAGCAAGGAGCTCAGCGTAGGATAATCTTCACGTATTTCTTCTCAGCAGGATAGAATAGAGACAGGAGGATTGTTGCAGCTGACAGCTTGTTCTGTTGTCTTCCACACACATGTTTGGGTGTTCTCTAGGAAGCCGTTTGGTATCTTCACATAGACTTAGCTGAATTCAGGTGTTATAAGCATATATACCGTTCTACTACCTTAGCGTACAGTAACTTCCCCTCACTGACTGGTGTTTGTAATATGGTATTTTTTCACATGCCCCCCTCTGATAGGATGCTCACTGTTTTTGAGAAGGCAGAATGAAAGGGGGGGGCAGGGAGGGGTTCCAGAGTTATGGCCATATGCAGTAGGGACAGACCCCAATCTTCAGTTCATTAACCCTCCCTTTTCTGCTCAGGAAAAAGCTATAGTTTTAATCCTTTTACAGCAAAATTGGCAGCAGCTCTCGAATGTTTAGCCAACAGCTGGGACTATAGGTACTGCTGAACACTGGACTGCACAGGCACAGCTAAGATTCTCAAAAGAACCACAAACAGTCTGAAAGGCTGTGAAATAAGAGGAGACACACTAGGAGTAAGTTACAGACAGCAAAAATGTCAAACAAAGGATAGCTTGAATATCAAGACCATTAAAAAGGAGAGAGGGTCATAAACACGTTGTATGAAAAACAATTAACAGGAATCAAGTAGATCAGTGGTCTCCAACCTTTTTAAGTACCAGATCACTTTTTTAATTAAACTGCAACATAGGATCTACCATGTGCCACCCTCCCCATTGCCCAGCAAGTCAGTCTGTGGGGGGAAGGAAG